AGACTTGTGCCATGTTTTTGTCTGTCCGCCCCCTGCTTAGCACAACAAAGATGTGGAGCTATTTATTCGTTCATATATTAGACAATTACTAGCTATCAAGACTCAGTAGCTAAGTGAATAACGTGATAGCATTTGAAGCGAACGGTGCTGGGTTCAAGTCCCAGAGTGGACATCAACTCGGAGATGAAGGTACATCCAGCTGACGAGTCCCAAACAGGACGAAACGCGCGTCAAACTGGATTCCACTGATGGCCATTATCCATCTTTAATTACTGAATTTGTTGTTAAGTTTATCATAGTTTCCAAAAGCTTCTAAAATCTTAAGGTTTGTATATAAACTAACCTTCTAAAAATAATTTTGCATCTTTTGTTTTCTGTTCAGGGTTTAAGAGAAGAAGAGTTCTCAGTACTAGGAAGTAGGCACTTAAGTGACTAAGTACAATACGTGAACTTTTATCTGTTGGAGAAATACTGAAAAACAGTAAATACAGCACAGCCGTTTTATCATAGTTTCAGAATGCTAACTAGTACGTCCGTACAATCTTATATGAGATAGAATGATAGTCTTTAGATTTTTTTACTAGGGATGAAAACTTAAGATTAGTCAGTTGGAATTCAGTAGTGGGTATTACTAAGTTGATTTTATTTTTTAAAGTGACGAGATTTCCCATTTTATGTGCCTACTTTGTAGAACATCTATTTAACTATAACAGTAATATTTGAATAACAAGATATTTTTAAAATAGCCTCAATTCGACCTAAACGTATTATCACAGATTCAGTTTTTAAGCAAATAACGTTTATCATGTAGTATCATCTACAGAAAATCACTACAAGAAGGTGTGGTGGGACTGAGCTCCATATTAATTCATTTAATAGTCATGGCTATACATTAAAGAACCTGAAATAGTTATGATGTATTTTGTAAAGGTTAGTCTATTTGTAGGTGGCATTCGCTATGGTGTGATGTCATTTGAGGTATCACTGGAAACTATTGGACATTGGGTAGCTATTTCATTCTAGCTTACATCCCAAAACAGCGTGAGACTTGAATGTCTTAGGTTCGATCTTTAACAGGGCAGTGAGTAGACAATTCTAAAGAGTTCCATCCTAGAACGAAACAGTTGTATGCTGCTTCTTAGTCTCCAATGTTCTTTTTTCAAAATGAAACCAAACTGTGATGAACATTACTTGTAAAAATGTGAAATACTTACATATGCATTCGATTATCATTTACTATCAATATATCTAATACACATACATGAAAACATTTGAATAGACAAACGCGAATATATATAAGCATTAATCATCTAACCTAATGCATATAAACACATATGGTGGGATTTTTCTATTATAAAAGTATGTATTAAAGGGACTTATTCATATAAGTAAACATTTTTACACAGTCAAGTACGAATACATTACTGTTACAATAACTACTAATACTGTCACCCTAAATAGTTTGTTGATGTATATACAGATATATATAATGCCCAGATGTTTCTGTCACAAACATTTCAATGAATAAACTACATATGTTTTATTATGAGTAATGATATGAATGACTAGGTATGGATACACAAATAGATTTTTCTTGTTCTTTAAAAGTCTAGACAAATGGACAGTATAAAATAAACAAACAACTACAAAAAAAAGAACCTTGTCAATATCTGTTAAATGTAAATATGTATATGAAATAAATATCAGAAGGGATTTTGTGGATATTATAGTAAGTTCAATGGTTGGGATCATGAGTCACTTGAAGCTAGAAAACCATGGAAAACCTGGAAGCACTGGATGGCCGTTTCGTCCTAGCACAGGACCCCTCAGGAGTGTGCATCCACGATCCCGCCCCGCGGGATTCAAAACCAAGACCTATCGGTCTTCTTCTTAAATAATATGGGATAAATATGTATGGGACCAGTAGAGATACAAATGTAGACTCAATAAATTAATATCTAGAATAGTTTATAACAATTTTTATTGTCACATATTATCATGAGTAATAATAATAATAATAATAATAATAATAATAGTAAGAGTAAAAACTAGCGTATTAAGTGAACCAGAAATAAGAGACGAGATAATGATGAGAAACAGCTATAAAATAATTAAGCGACTAAAAATTGAGAGACAGATTATTTTACACGGACTACAGGCAATTATAAGTTATACAATTTCTAAGTGTTAACTAAGGTTCAATAAATATATAAGTTTAAATAATTTTTATAGAGATAAGTAATATTTAGTGTCAGTATAAGGTTGTGAAGATTGTTGAGTTTTGATTGAGATCATGATATTACTGTCCTTGAAAACCTGGAAGCACTAAACCGTTTCGTCATAGTATGGGGCTACTCAGGATCCGAATCCAGGACTTTCGGTCTCGGTTTAATGGGAAGCTATGACCAGTGAAGCTAATCCATGTCGAGTGTGTTGGACAGTTATCCACTGAAGACAATGGAAGATGGTCGCGCAATATGGTGGATTGATTGAGGTTAGACATAAACACTGTTGAGTCCCGCCAACTCAACAATCTAGAGGTTAAGTGTTCGCGTACGAGGCCGGAAGTTCTAGTTACGATTCCCGCGTGGATTAATCCAATACTTGAATGAAGCAGCCGTTCAATACTTCCAGGTTTTTAATAGTGGTCTAACATTGATCGGTTTACGATTTCAATAAAATTCAATAATCTCCACAACCTCATCCTGACAGTTATATACAAGTTAAAGTTATGATCACATATATTGTTCATATTTTTATAAATGATTTGTTTAACACTAAAGAGACTCGATAGCGATAATAATAATAATCCGTAATGAGAAAATTTATGTCAAACTGTTCTACTCTATTTTTCCTGTGAATAAATTGTACTAAACACCAAGTTTTTTTGTGTCTCCTACCCTTATTTGTTTGATAAAATATTCTAAAAAATTTATCCAAATTAGGAAATCCACACACACACACACGCACAATATACATTTTATAATCTGACATTTTTTTCCATCAGATGAAATGAAATATTTTTTTCATCAAGTTTGTTAACATGATCCATTCAGTATGTTCTCAAATTAAATTTACGCTAAATATAGCTTTTCTCTATCGAAAATTAAGTAAACCTGAATTGAAATAACTCATATGGTAGATGTGTCACTCAATTTCATGGATTAGTTGAAGTTAGACATTAACACCGTTGAATGTCGGTTGGTTCAGTGGTCTAATGGTCAAGCGCTAGGACGCGCGAGATCAATAGGTCCTGGGTTCGAATCTCTTGGGGTGGGATCGTAAATGCGCATTGCTGAGGAGTCATACAGTGGGACGAAATGGCCGTTCACTGCTTCCAGGCTCTCAATGATAGTCTGGCTTCAATTGACTCATGAATTTAACTATTAAATTACTAATAATATCCGCAAGACGTCTGCTGATACATATCGTATGACAATTTATAAAAGAGAGAAAAGACATCATCTAGAATAGATCTAGTAACCAAAATTACAGGTCACGTGTCTTTTTCTTAAAGATAACAACTATGTTAGTAACTTTTAAGGGATGTTTCATCGGATATAAAAAAAAATAAAGAAACTTCAGCTAATTTATGAAATTGAGTTAAGTCAGTTAGTTACTTAGTTATTACGGAATGTAAAAACTGGTATAATTATACGTTGATAAAAGTTGAAACACCATAAAACTATATAGTGAGAAGAAATGACTAACGATAAGAATGGGAATAATATTGAGAGAGATAGAAATCTAAACATGAAAAACATATGGTCAGAAAGAACTTATCAGATTTAGGAATGAAATGTCCAGAATGAAACTCAATTCAAGATTGATAGGAAGATAGATAATGATTACAAATTCACCATTTAGACTGATTTTGTTAAAGGTCAATAAACATCACCTATAACTGTTTACAAATATTATATGGTATTTATTTATTTATTTAAACATATGAACATTGGTACAAAAAGGCATCGAACATATATGCTCCACACTTTGTCATTCGATTTTTGTGAGGACTAGCATGCTACCCGGGGGCCAAAACCGAAGTAGGTGGTTTCCTTAGGGAGCCATTCCCTGAACCTATGACTTAGAGGTCGAATTCACAAGGAGATGCAGTCCATGGTAGACGATGACAAACAAAAGGTTCATACGCCATTTGTTCTCTCAAAATCCAGCAGCCTATTTGCACCCTCGGTTTGTAGTCAGGATTTTCCAAATCCCTTAAGTAGATCCTCAGTACCTACCAACCCATTTGGAGCGCCGGGTATTCGCTTTTCGTTCTTTCGTGAACAACATCCCCGCCGTGAGAAGGCAGTGAATAGGTCTCCCCTGTTTATCAAAATTTCTGACAAAACAAAAGGAATGAAGGAAATTTATTTCCTTCGGCACTCATATGTTAGGTGTATATATATATAATATATATATATATATATATATATATATATATATATATAATATATATATATATATATATATTGTTTTCCGTGATATCTGAACTAAATGCTTCCACTGAGCTACAGAAGTTATGACTGACAATTTTTATGATTGTTATTGGTTTATGGTTATGTTTGTTTGAGATGTCATTACCAACTAATCGATTATGATGGAAGCAAGGGATTACTAGTGTGTATTTAGAAGCATCGATTTGATATCTAGAACTAACAATAACTACGTACCCAAATTATACTGGTAAACAGAGCATCTACATAAACAAGTTATCAGTGTTATTAATTGAATATTCAAAACCGACAAAGTTAAAAGTGTTTAACTTCAGCTGTCTAGAAGTTAGAGGTTCATACTCAAGACCGGAGACCCTAAGTCCGGCTCCCGGTTGCGATTTCGTAGATGTACACTGCTAAGGCGGCCCAAACTAAGACGAAACGGCCATGGTTATTTAAATTAAGTCAATTCATAAATTTAATAAGACCTCAAAATATCGACAATCTGTACTTTACACTGATAATTATTTTAAATGAATTGAAGAGAGAAAAACAACTCACTTGTACAACTTCTACACCAGATTTAACATTTTCCATTATACTAGCATGATAATTAATTCGTTCTAATTCAGGTGGATATTCATTAACATCATCAATGTTTATCATAAGTTCACGACTAGATGAACGTGGTGGTATACCATAATCTGTACATGCAATATTCACTATTATATGTGGTTCTAATTCAGCATCAAATGATCTTGTTGTTAATAAAGTATAATGATTTCCAGTTTGTGTCAATTCAAATGAATCAATATTAGTAGAATTTATTAAATTATTAGATAATTCAAGTGTATTCGATACAAGATGACATTGTACTCGACCATTATCATATAAATCATTATCTGTAACTTGTAATACACAAACACGTATATGTTCAGAATTTTCTAATATAGATAATGATTTACCTTCCATTGGTGAAATCATTTTAATTGATGGACTAAAATCATTTAAATCTTGTACAGTGATTACAACATTTGCTGTATCACTTGGTGTAACTGGTATTCTAGATAATAATGATGATGTTGATGATGATGACGATGATGATGTAATATCACCAGATTGTATTTGATTATTTAATACTTCACTTACAGTTACTGTAAAACGATATTCTGAACGTTGATGTGCAGCTAAACGTGATTGTAATATTAAATGACCAGAATGACTATCTAAACGAAATGTTTTCTTTAAATTTAAATCCATATTATCTTGTAATTGATAATTCATTCGTGCATTTATATCAGAATCTTTATCAATTGCATTAAATATTAAAATTGTTTGACCAACGCTAAAATTTTCTGGTATAGTTAATTCATATGAATGTTTCAAAAATAATGGTTTATTATCATTTGCATCAAGAACTTGTATTGTTAAATTTTGTTGTATACAATAACGTTTATCACATGCTTCAATTATTCCATTATAATGTTTAATTAATTCATAATCTAATAATTGAATTAAACGTAAATAGATATTTGGTAAATTATTTATATCTAATTCAAAATGTTGTTTTAATTCTATACCATGTATTGTATATTGTTGTATTTGATTCTCTGGTGATATATCTAAATCAATAGCTGGTATTACATTTAATATTGTACCAATTTCAGATAATTCAGATATTTTTATTATTTGTTCATTACCATTTATAAATTGTGGTTTATGATCATTTATATCTTGTACAATAACATTTAATTCTAATAATTGTAATTCATTAGTATTCATACCTTCTATGATTATATTTGATATTAATTCACATGGTTTATTATATTCACAACATAATAATTGTTCTATACATAATGATTCTATATCTAAACGTTTTATTAATTGAATTAAACCATTTGGTGTTATTGTAAAATAGATTGAATCGGATGTAATTTTAGATTTTTTAAATAAATATGACGTAATATTTCCGACAGTTGTATGTAATGGTGATTCTTCATCAATTTTTAATTGAATATTTAATGATTTATTAATAAATGCATATGTATTAACAAATAATTGTATTATTATTATTGTTATTAAAATGTAATTTGTTTTTAATTTCATTTGTCAATTTTATTTGTTTTTTTTGGGGGGGGGAACGAAAAGAAACGAAAAAAAATTGGATATATTACTTTTATACGGATGTTGGTGAAATTAAAAAAAACATTCAAGGCATGAGTTATTTTTCCTAGTTGTTAAACACTATTATAATAATCCGTTTATTTGAAGTGTGTAAAAGTAGATAAATAAACGAGTATAATAATAATAATAATGATAATAATAATAATAATTATTATTTTCATTATTAATATTAGCCAATCATAAAAGAGCAAATAAATTGACCAATAAGAAACGAGTTAATTAATCAGCTGTTGTTTGTCTATTAATCTATTAAAAGGAATAACAACCAATCAAATATCAGCATTTTTGAATTGGTTACAATGATTTAAAACTAATAATAATTCAATTACATATTTATGATTAACATATTAAGTGGATATAATTGTTTCATTAGTACTTTTAAATTAATTTTAAAAAAAAATAAAGTGCATAAATGAAATTATTAAGTGATGAATGTGAAATGATTCAATCAAAATAGAACTATCTAGTTGTTTATACAATGTCAAGATAAATGATCCACTTCAATAGTATCATACTGTGTTTATCAATTGGTTGTTAGGACTTTATATTTAGAATTTTTTTGATGAGTGTATTTTAGAATCTTTTTCATCCCATCATGTTTTATTGGTAGGAACTTTGTTTCCACAGAGTTTCTGTTTTATACCTGATGTTTTATGGTGAAAATAGTCAAAAATATGTAAAATTTGATAAGGTTTAAACTATATGTTATTTCATATCATTCAACTAAGGCATTCTGTTACTAACTTCGACATACATTGAATATGCACATACAAGTGATTTATATAAGTCGTTAGAAACTACCCAATTCAATTGATGTAATTTGTTTAGTAGTTGGGTTAAAGTGATTTAATCATAGGAGCTAAACATAGAGCTATTTAGTTATGTTTATACGTTCGATTTCTTTAAACAGCCTGAATTTAACTAGATGATTTGAATAGATCAATGTATTAAACTAGACATACAACCTAGAAATTATTTATGAATTTTCCAGTTCATTTGCTGATGTGAAGGACTGAAGGTGATTAAATGAATTTATTGAAGTGTAAAACTGATATAATAATCTATACGGGTTCAGAACGATTGTCTATTACTGAAAACACATTTAAATGAATTGACAATTCAGTGTTTCATAATATTCAACTACTCGTTCCTTTAGCAATATAATTTTTATTTCAAAATAATTAGAAGTTAGCCTTTGGACTAACTTTTTCATCACAATCTCCTAGGATAAGAACACAGTTCAATAAATCATAAGTAAAATGATGTTTAATTTCTATCAACAATACTATTTATCAGAAGGGGTTTTGTGGGTCAATTGGAGCTAGACTACCATGGTGGTCTGATAATAATCATCTGCTCACTAGTGACTAGCTTCAACAAGTATTTCCTGTAGTTCTAGAAAGAAGCCGTGACCAGTGGAGCTCAACCAGGACTGCTTTGAGATATCAGCTCACCGGAGATAATGGTGTACAGTGGCACAACTTCGTGTATTGATTGTAGTTAGACATTCACACCGTTAGATGCCGGTCGGCTCAGTGGTCTAGTGGTTAAACGCTCACGCGCGAGACCGATAGGTCCTGAGTTCGAATCTCGAGGGGGGGCGGGATCGTGGATGCGCACTGCTGAGGAGTCCCACAATAAAACGAAACAGCCGTCCAGTACTTACAAGTTTTCCATGGTTGTCTAGCTTCAACTATTTAAAATTTCGAGTATTAACTTCGAATTACGTTTCTTAAATTCACCAGTCAAAGATTAATATTAAAGATTTGTACTATCTCATTCTAATATCATGCGAAACAATCAACGTAAGGTAAATTTCAAAATTTGAGCTTATTCCACACCAAGTTTTTTTCTACTTCATGCTTATTACATTCAAAGTTAATTTCATCATGTAGTTACTGAGAATTGTATGCATATAAACTTGGTTACTTTATTTATGGAAATATTTAACTTAACTAAGAACTATCAAGTGGCTAAATATTTATGTTCTTCACATTTTGACTGAATGTGACAAAAAAATCTGAAAGCAACAGTATAGAATGCTCTTCAGAATATTTGTACATCTATTCATTGATCGAAATGTATATGAGAAAGTTAGTGTTTGTTATTGTCTATAAAATAGACTCGTTCTATTTTGCAGTTACCATCACAGACTGATCTTAGTTAAAACAAATGTCAAAAACAAGGGAGCACTGGACAGAATCTTCGTCCTAGTGTGAGACTCATCAGTGATGTACATCCACGACCTCATCGCATCTGATCTCGCGGCGACTGTTATACATTTGAACCTCTAACAGGAGCCCAATGGTTCACATATTTAGCTTCAAAAAGCTCGTGATATTGAGAAATCTTCTTTCAGTGTCACTGGTGGGTAAATGTCTCATATTCAAGATATTCGAAGTCTACTGATCACGAATCCCTATTAGAAATCTAGGAATTACTTCTGAAATTTTTTCTCATGTACATCGTTGGATGCTGACAAATTGGTTTAAAGTTTAACTTCACAACGAACAGAAATCAGTGTATGAGAGTGAAATAATAATAATAATAATAATAATAATAATAATAATAATAAAGGGAAACAGTTCAGTTAGGAAAAATACAACCAGAAAGAATTCTTCCAGTTAAAGAAGTTACATTCATTTTTTTATGAAGAAAGTAAAAGAGAGTTACAGCAAGATCTCCACTGGCTTTTATTCTGAGCCATATCTGATAGCGTCGCTAGTCACCATCTCTAGGACCTCATTCAAGGAGTTGTGAAGAACCAAATGATGATTACTACTGGAAAAATTATCTGGTCACTAATCATTTTCCATGCTTTTTCCATCTTCTCCTTCTCAAGTTGTTAACAAATATCTTCTTTAGTCAGTTTATTAGTATTATGTTTTTTCCTTTAATTCTATATTGAATGGAACTGGTTTTTTCCCAAAAAAAAAAATAAATGAGACTCAATTATCAATCCATTATTAGTTTCCTTTTTAGTCGTTATGCGCTTGTTTTTTAAATAATGGAAACAAAATTTGAAAAAATCTGTAAATTGAAATGAAAAGAAAATTTTGAGGAAAGAGAAAGAAGAAAATGAAGTTGAAAAGAATGGGAAGACTAATGAGTGCTTCCTATTATCATCATCATAATAATAACAATAATAATATCAACTAATGAAGGACACGAAATAAGGCTCTATTTCGATCTAATCTTTGTGTGTGCGTGTTCGTCTCTCTCTGTCGCGTATATATATAGAAAACACACACACACATCCACGCATATAGCTAGATGTAGGTAGATAATGCACGAAAACAGAATATATTTAGCAAAAAGCGATTATAAATGAATCGGAGATGATATGTGCTAGTATAAGACAAAGAGTATAAATAAGAATATTTACTTAATGTAAAGAGATCAGAATCAAGATATTCACTTTGGAATGTATTTGTTAATAGAAGTCAATTCTTGAAGTAGCTTATTAATTAGATTTTTAAAAATGCTTCAGCAATATAAACATGTTGAAAGTTTTCAAGTGAGATTTAAGGTTCTGGGTTTGATTTCTGATTTTTTTGGGGTTATAGATGATCACTACTGATAAATTCCATTACTAGTACGAAATAGCTGTCAAGTACTTCCAGGTTGTCAAACATTGATTGATTCATGATTTTTGTAAGGTGCACACATATATTCTCTAGAACTAATAATTATTCAGGTGATATCAGTTGGTAATGTTTAGACCGAATAATCTTTACAAACCACGAAATTTTCATAATAATAATAATAATAATAATAATAATAATCATGTGCTCACTGATGACTTTCTTCGAGGTTTATTGCTGAAATTCTAGTGGAGGGATGGGAGCATTAATGTCTGAATACTGAGTCAGGTATATAGAAGATACAATTCGTGTTCAGTTATTCGATAGTATTAAATGAATTTTAAGATAATTCTTTTCATTTTTAGCGTCATTCGAACAGAGAACAGTAGACTAATGTCAGGTGATTGGAAACAGTCGCTAAGAATTCTTGGATATACTTTTCATACTATCTTCCACTCGTCAGGAAGGAAAAACTGGATTTATGAAGTAGTTGATACTTTCCGTGGAATTTTCCCAACTTCAAACTCCATGAAGTTCCCACTAATTTATGTCGACCTCCACCTAAAGATTACTTACTATCGCTAAATCAAGGTCCGTGGCTTCGTGTCGACTGCCTCTAAACATAGTGAACATGATGTTGATTGATCTAGTAGCTACACTTAAACTTGAGCTGAAAAAGAGTTCGATCAGCACTAAAGAAACATAATATCGATCAATCAAAATAATGTTATGTTTCTACCTTAACTTTCGTAACCGAAAAAAAACACTTGTTATCGGTCTTGGTAATTTGATATGGTTTATTTTGTTTCGTGTTACACCTAATGGATTACAGTAGTTAAATTCTAACATACATAAACTAGACCATCTTAGAACAAGCCGTTGATACAAAAACCCACTCAACGTAAAAACAATAATCTGTAGAAATATATAGTAGTCTGCAAGAGGTAATAATCAGTTTCCAATTATTAAAGGTTAGTTAGATAAATAATACAAATCAGTTGGCTTTCATCATATGTTAGAAAATAACCACATTATGATAAGCACTGTGCTGTTTGCAGTGAAATACAAGTGTGAGCCATTGATTTCGGACACGTTAGTTCAATGGAAGCATTTTCCTGAACCCCTAGAATTCTATACTATTCAGAATTGTATGTGAGTTGGAAATTATCTTGCAATGTTACTTAAATTATCAAAACTTATAATTAGTAGACTTTTAGCTAATAATAAATCTCAAATTATCAAAATGTTATACTTTACAAAAATCAGACAGTAATTCTTTACATTCTATGTAAACTGGATAGCTTTCTTAGACATATTTAATATTAATTCTGAAGTATTCTTGTTTTCGATTGAGATCATGAACCGGTTGATGTTAGACCACCAATGAAAACCTGGAAGTACTGGACGGTCATTTCGTACTACTGTAAGACTCCTCAGAAGTGCACATCCACGATCGCACTCACAGGATTCGAACCTAGGACCCTAGGTCTCGCGCGAGAACTCGTAATCTCT